GACGCGATATTTTTCGTTGATTGCCTTGTTTTTTTGTTGGATTTGATCGATTTTTCTTCTGTTTCTTTTTAGTTTTCATGTTTATTAGACTTGATTAATTAAAATGACTCCTCCTACATAAACGGCGATCAGGATCGCATTGGAACTGAAGAGAGGGGCCGGCCAATTCAAATGTTTAAAGGACTCCCCACCTCACAAATTGCTCGCTCCAATCTTCCATCGCAATCCTGCGATAGGCGGCGGGTGCGGCGTGTGCGACGCCGTGTTAGGGGAGAAGTTCCCGGACCCGCTGTTGAACACACTCCGAGGCGGACGAGTTCTCACGTCGTTGACGAGGCTGTAGAGGTTGCGTCCGAGTACCTCTTCCCTTCATATTTTGTCGACGCATCGTGTCCAGCCCTTGACAATTGGGAAAATCAGCAATACATATAAGGCCAGAGCATTTTGGCTATTCATATCTGATAAGACCTAATCAGTTAATCTATTTTATATGTAACTTAGCTTTTCAATTACTTCTTTAACTTACAATCAGTAAAGTGACTTTACAAACTATTTAATTTTTAAAACTTACCATTTCGATAAATCCATTGCTAGAGCATGATAGCATATGGAGCTCGCATATGAAAATGCGAGGACAATGAAGAATTGGAAGACCTGAAGTTTGAGCCCTTTTTGTAAATTTCAAATAAATGTGGAGCCTGCATGACTGTGTCTCGTCCCTTTAGTCGCAAAGTTGAGAAAAGTCATAGAACGGACATTGAAACAGGTCATGCTTACCATCGAGGTATCCACGTAGCTTCTGTTGTTTTGTGAGAGCTTTTTCAGTTGTGACACTTTACGTATGATAAGAATCAAAATCGGAACAATAATCAAATTAGGAAGGTCTCCTGAAAAAACAACAACATTAACAACTCATCTCCTCCCTTCCTACCTCAAATATTGGAGGTGGAGTGGATAGAAATCGAAATTAAACTGTCATATTATTATTCTGATAAAGGCCTAGTGGAACGTGGTGTGGGTAAGGATCGATCGGGTTGATAAGGAGGTTGTGGAATGAATGAAAGTCTGACTGAACCAAAAATCCGACTGTGGGCTCATATGGGCTCAAACGGGCGATTGTGATACCACAGGACCAGGTGTCTATATGAACAAAGACTAGTAAAATGACACCGTTCTTACACTAGTTCATCTGAGGGNGGGTCCTAGCTCCAACTAGTGGTCGTGATGCAACGCAAATTACCCATCTGGTTACCAAACCCATCTGGAGCGTTTGAGGTCTCCTTTCTATGCGTCCTATATGTGACGGCTTGAGGATATGCGTATTCAAATAGGGTCATCCATGAAAGGGACTTAGTTTTCTAGGGAATTCAGCGTCCATTGCATTTTATTTTACCGTAGAGTCACTATAAGAATCGAGCTCCCCTACTGTTTCCCTTCCCTGTTCGTGTCCCTAATTCTGTCGTCTAACGTTTCGGATTTGATTGGTCTGAATGAGAGAAACTAACTGATTACAGAAGTGACCATCGCGATCAACTCCATTTGCCTCACCTAGAAAACCATAGAAGATTCTCCATCCACGATGATTCTGATATGCGTAAAAATAAGTGCTTCTCTTGAAATATTTTGCATACCCCGTCAATGTCGAACACAGGACTAACGCAGACAACACAATATAGCATACGGTCACTATTACAACCTGTAATAGAGAAGCAGAACACTTCAGTTACGGTATGAACTGCAATTAGGCCGTCTAGGCCTATATTCGAATAAAAATTAGAGATACCTCAATGGATTGTAGAGGAATTCCCTGGGATTTACTGACATAAACTAGCAGTAGAGGACAACAGATGAAACTTTTGGCATTGATCAATTCTACTTTGGGATGCGCCCTATATCCAGCTATCATTTGGAATCGTAAAGCCGCTTTGAATGCGTATGGGGCCTGCGGTGGTTAGCCGATGCGCAAGCCAGTGTTTCCATCCACCCAGACGAGTTCTGATATGAATTCAGCGACCGCACAGGATTAAAGACAAGGGTACAAAGAAGGGGGCTCCTTTAACGAACTTTCACCGCAGGGCCTTCAGCTCAAGATTCACAGATAAGGGATTCAGTGAAGAGCACACTATAGAGCTAAACCCTGACTTTGGCCCAGGTTGGTGCCTCCTGTGGGCGGGCGCCTTTCTACGCCACCCGACATAAAATACACATCTCTCCGTACATTTGGCATTTATTTGTCATTATTAAACGTTTTTTATAGGCACCAAACTGACTGTTTGGACGATGGTAATCCTTGGGCATATCGAAGGGTAGAAAATGGAAAACTTGATAATTGTTACGCATAGTAGTAAATAGCGGTAAGCATAGTAGCCGATAGTGCCAGGAATAAGTAGTACCACATTGAGCCATTCACTAAGGTAATCGCATGTCGTCAACATACAGGGAATAATGACTAAAACATTGGAAGATAGGTAGAGTAGCGATGAAATTGAACAGAATACTGTAGCCGCAAAAACGGGATTTCTCATGTAGTCCTCAGAATGGCGTACGAAGACCATTAGCAGTACGACTGTTATGATGATACTCGAAGCAGTAAGTAGAATCATAAAAATGGATGCGATAAGGCTAAATAAGTACTGATTAGTTGTATTCTTTGAACTCCACTACGACTGCATGAAGTGTTTCCGAACTGCAGAAGCTCGGCAACGGTGGCCCTGATCCCTCGTTGATGCGGTGACCTAGACTAATCTTGTCGAGACCCTCCACTTTAACTAGTTAAACGTGGGGGAATGATAAGTACCCAGCTAGCTATTGAAGGTATGTCGTCGGGTAAGTTTGTGAGTAGCCCCACCAGAACAGTAAAGCACCAAGAAAAATCTTTCTTCAGCTGCTACTTGCTCTACTGGGTAAAGCGTACAAGTCCTATTTGTTGGGCCAAGACCGGGGCTACCGTAATCGGGTTCTACTTGTTAGGCGCTCACAAACCATTATCAAAGCTCATTATATGCCAATTTGAGCAAAATGGAGATGGCAAACTTACACGGATATTTCCATTATTCCAATTGGCTGCTACCTTTTCAAGTGGAACAGTACTAAAGGCACTTCCTCACTGAAATATATTTTTAATCAGCCTCACACTACACAAATATCGGGCCTCCTGAGTGAGGAGGTTGAAATGTAATGAAGGGATAATCTCGATGGGGTGTTATTCTGAATGAACTTTTTGTTGTCAAAGTGCCAGTGAAAAGAGATAGTCATTGCAAGAAACGGACCCTACTATTCCCATTATCGTATTCTATTATCGTAGCCCATGTGACTTTTTCACTTGGGAAACGAGAAAAAGAAGAGGTCCTGAACCCCTCATGTCGAATGGTAATGTTATTTGAATGTGTATGTGGCTTATACAACAAGGTGCAGATGATGCAGAGGTTTAGTCTTCTCAGACAGGTCTGTTTTGAGCAGTCCACCGACCCGAGAGGAATGGAAGTCTGATTTTGCTGAAAACAATCCGCTTTTAGGTTTTATTTGCTGGTACCCGAGAGGCATGGGCCAATATCAACAGGTATTCGAACCCGGGAGGGACCATTAGCGTGGGAGTGCATCACCTTCCATTGCCTCAGCTGTGCTGAGAAACCCAAGATCTGAGAGGACCAGATGGTTTCCAGTCAATGACTTAATCTTTCCAGAAAAGCTTGGTACTACTATTTGACCGAATTTAAAGATGAGGCAGAGAATGAAGCAGCAGATACGAAAGGTATAAGAAAATACATCTCTTATGGAAGGCTTGGGGCGTGTGGCGTTAGGTTCGAAATTTCGAAATTCCCCACTTTCGAAAGTGTCGCATTTGAGCATCAGGATGACTTGGGGGGTTGGATCTTTTTACAGATGTGAAAGTTGTTGAGTGCGGTAGTCCCGACGTAGTAATACCTACCTACTGTATGAAATGGATTCATCAATGAAGGATTTGGTGGGCGGACGTCTTGGAGATATCGTTATTTGTAGCCGATAACTCATTAGAATGGATTGAAGGGCTTACTAATGTCGTGAAACCATGGCCGAAGACTCAAAAAGGGGAATTTTCACTTTTTTGCTGAATTGAATTGAGATCTAATGAAGTCTAGTACCTTTGATTGTTGCTCTGACAGCTCAGAGCTAGAAAATTTCACTATGATTCACAGGGATCCGGAGACCTTTTGTAACTCTACTTCTTTGACGTCCCGTCGACTGCTATGCAGGGATGCTGGTTATCGACTCAAGAGAACTTCTTCTCCCGATAAATTCGGATCTGATCTCGAGTGGAACTCGGGCGCGTTAACTAGTAGATTTGGGAGCTTTTTCATTATTTTGAATTATCATAGCATTCTTCTGCGTCTGCCAGGTTCTCTGTGCTTTCTACATCTACCCTATTATCACTATTAGAGGTGGTAACAAAGACCCAAAAGTTGCCAGCAGAGGTAGCAGGAATTAAAACTTGTAATTAGACTGTTATGGAGCAGAAACAGGGTAACTACAAGTTGAACCCTCTATCGGAGTAGTCCCAAAACGACTGGTTATCCTGGTAAGTCATTTGGTCCTTCGAGGCAACAAATTCTGTTCCGAATCAACCAATACTACTTGATTGAGCGTTTTTTGTGAACATCGACCGAAAAATGGGACTAACCGAAAGGGAACAATGCTGAAGTAAACCTGTATTGCAAAGACAGAGAGGTGGAGGTGTATATTTCAAGAAATAAAAATCATCATAATGACAGTCGCCTCTCAGACGTCCTTCACTTCTTCTAATCTTCAAGAAAGCGAGCATTAGGGAAGTATAGGTAGCAATCAAGCGAAATTAGCCTCGTTTCATGAAAAGAGGCATCACTAAGTACAGTATCTGGAAACCAATCTAAATCAATGATCCTTTGTTCCCTTGTCCTCAGCAAATTACTCGAGTTCCTCCAAGAAATAAAAGTTCAGACAGACAGCCGTGCTGCTAAGGGTTCGGATTGAGCCCTGTACCGCCTGTGTGATCTGTAAACCACGTTGAGCTGTCTATTTTGCTCCAGTGACTTAACTAAGACAAAATTTGAGTGGGAGCATGTAAACGACTCGCTCTGCATCATTCCACACATTCAACCATTTCTCCGCGTTTCAGTGAGAAACCAAATACATGGCGTTTCCACCGGATCGGTCAGCGTCAAGTAGTTCGTCGTTGTGTCCATATTTTTACCATTCCTCCGCGTTTCAGTGAGAAACCAAATACATGGCGTTTCCACCGGATCGGTCAGCGTCAAGTAGTTCGTCGTTGTGTCCATATTTTTCTGATACGAACCATTCCTCCGCGTTTCAGTGAGAAACCAAATACATGGCGTTTCCACCGGATCGGTCAGCGTCAAGTAGTTCGTCGTTGTGTCCATATTTTTCTGATACGATTTCTAAAGAATGACATATGACTGCACGTTTGACAGCTTGTAATCAACTGGAATCGATCGATGGGTCTTCCAGGCTGCGGTATTACTACTTTGTATTACAATACTAATTCTTCAGGTTTATTTAAAAATATGGTAAAATATTCAGTATAGCAGGAGAATTTTGTGGATATATACAGTATTATCTGAACTGTTTGTAAAAAATACCACCGGGTCGATGACCTTTCCACATGGACCATACCCGTCGAATAGATCGTATGGTCAATCGCTCAACTTTGACTGTTCGATCGGTCGCCCAAATTTAGTGGGTAGCCCTTTTTTTAGTGACCGATCCTCTGCTCATAGTGTATTTCCTCTGGATATGCACGTCTCTACAGAAAAAAGGGTCGAATTACTTCAGAAACTGGATGAATTCTCCGAGAATAAGCAAAAGGTGAGAAAGCTTCTGTAAAGTTAGTCATTTAGGTTATTTTTCAGTTATGCATGTAGCGAAACCTGCCCAAATTCTATTTGACGTTTTTTTTCCAAAAAATCAAATATTACTGATTGGAAGGTTATGCGTTAACAAATCCAGCTGTACCAAACTTGTTACGCCTTGAAATTCTCCATTTTGAAGGGCGGGGTTTTTGTGTAAATAAGAGAATACTTGTCTTGATATTGAGTTATAAAACCCTAATATTATCGATTTAATTAATACTGATGCAGAAGTGTTTCGTCGTCTTTTTAAACAACTTTTGAAAGAAAGACCTCATCTTAACTGGAATAGTTGGAGGTTCATTTCCGACAATGCCCACAGAAACTAGCAATCCGACTAGGTTTGGAACCTTTTCTAATTATTCAACATATGATGATGTGTGACACAAATGAATCAAAGTTGTAAAGAAAGGCTTTGCAATGAAAAGTAGTTGCCCGGCAAGAAGTGTTCGCCTCTTTGCGATGCGCCATATCGTGTATTTCTGCTTTGAATCGTTCTAGCGCTTCAATGTGGATTTTGCTCAGAGGATGGCTCGAGAAGAGATCGGTCGATCAGCCTTCAGCTGTCATGGTGAAAACTGCAACTAATACATGGTTGTCAACGAAATAATCTTTTGGTGAAAATGTTGTCGTAACGGTGCATGGCCTTGTGGCCTAATGGATAAGGCGTCGGACTTCGGATCCGAAGATTGCAGGTTCGAGTCCTGCCAGGGTCGAAAGTTTTTGGTTATTCTTCTGATCTGATATTTCAGGTCATATGTCTGATGATGTGAGCAAAGCAATTTTTTGGTTTAGAGAACATGATACATAGCCTTGTGGCCTAGTCGGACTCCAATCCAAAGATTGCTGGTTTGAGTTCTGTCGAGGTCTGGAGCTTTTTCGGCTCTTCCATTAATGTATGGCAGCATCAGGTCTCACGTTCGAGGAGAAAATCAAATCAGGATTGTAAGCAACATTGTTTACTGATCTAAGTGCCTTAAACATGACATATGATGTACTGGCCTAGTGAATAAGGTGTTGAACATTTAATCTGAGGATCTATAATCTGATGACTTCTGCCAATTGCTGTTGCTGAAAACTCATGCATTACCATCTTTTTCTTTGCAACTTATCGAAACCGTCTCGAACGGAAACTATAGAACTCAGAACCACGTTTTTTCTCTCATAAAAAGCTTACCATTCCATTCGTCTACTCTCCCCGCGGACGGTTGGTTTCCTGCCAACGATGACTTCGCCGTCAAACCCACCCGGCAGTAGCGACACCCGTGCAAGAACCTTCATGAAGATAGCCACCGTGAACGTCCGAGGACTATGCTCTCAACAGAGACTCGCGGATTTTGAAGCCAATGTCAAGAACGTGAGATTTGCTGTAATTGGACTGGCTGAAACTCGAAGACCGAACCGTGAGTGTACTCAACTTGGATCTGGTTTTGTGCTCTACAACAGTGGACGTTGTGATGGTGCTCCCACGTATGCTGGTGTAGGGTTATACATGTCGTTACGTATGAACAAAAAGCTTGTTGGTGTACGGTTCATTAGTGATCGCGTAATACAAGCCGAATTTCTTATAAAACGAAGACGCCTTAGCATTATTCAAGTACACGCCCCGACCTCTGCAGCAACAGATGACGAGTTCGAGCGATTCCTGGACGAAATAGAAGCTGCAAGGATAACTACGAAAACTAAAGCGATACCGGAAATCATTTGTGGCGACTTTAATGCAGTCATTGGACGTTCAAGAAACAAAGAAACTGCTTGCGGGCCGTTTGGAACTGGTAATCGGAATGACCGAGGTATTTCGCTGCTCTCGTTCTGCGACTCCAATAATCTTGTAATCGCTAATACATTTTTCAAGAAAAGGTTTGGAAGGAAATGGACCTGGAGGAGTCCAAACGGTAGCACTCGCAGCGAAATAGATCATGTTCTGTGCAAGAATTTGAAGTACGTTCGTGACGTGTCGACCCTTTCCGGATGCAATGTTGGGAGTGATCACCGGATAGTGCGAATAACTTTGTCTATGTGCATGAAACCTGCTCATTTCCAGCAGAAGTCAAGACCTCTACCTCCGGTCTTTGACAAGCTCAAGCTTCAAGCAGCAATGGCAACACAGACACGTCCAGCAAATGGCTTCGAAGTCCAAAGTTTCGTGAAGGCTGCGTGTAATTGCATAGCTGTATCACAAATACGGCAGGAAAGAGCGGAGCGAATTTCTGCTAGAACACTGGCACTAATGGAAGAAAGAAGAAAGCAGAAGTTCGGACTCACAAGTGGATCAATATCTGTTGTGCTATATACGTTACTGTGCAAACAAGTTAGATGGTCACTAACGGATGATCTCCGCAAGCACAACGACCGAGTCATGAAATGTGCGATAGACAAATTGAAGATAAGGCATGCAAGACATGAGTTAGCGTATGAACGTCGACAAATAGCCCAACTGCGATATCCTGATGGCACCCTAACAACGACTCCACAGGAAGCCATGACTATTGCAACTACGTTTTATAACGACCTCTACAAATCACGTGATGGTCCCTTCGTCTTCTCAGCGATCGGCTCTTTGAGACGTCCGATAACAGCAGAGGAGCTTCGTAATGCATGTAGGAGAATTCGTGGAAACACTGCACCGGGAGCTGACGGAATCCCATCTGGAGCGACGAAGCATCNGAACAATTTTTTCGAATCCAACAGAAATTATAGGTATATATTATGAAGAAAAACGAACTTCGGTATTGTATGCTATCATCACGCAGGAGTGTGACATCGCAGACATTGTCAGGACCGTTAATTTGAATGTGGAAATTACAAGCGGATTCCTAAATTGGCTACACGTGAATCGGATTTTGAGGGGATTTTGAAGGATCCAGATCTTTCCGTGAAGTGAAGGCATTATTTCGATCTTATTATTCTTATGTTCCTAATAAGGAGATGAAGTTCAATTGATATTGTAAAAAGACCCTTATCAGAGATACGTGAGCTTCTCAGATACGCTCAAGAACTGAGAAATTTAGACTTGTGATATTTGGACAATGAGCATTATGCCGTTGTTAGTGTCAAAGTTAGGCACAGTTCACGATAAAAATGGTTCCTGAGATTTCTCTCTTGGATGAATCTACGACGTCCAAGGATAGCACAAAGGATGATAGAGTGCAAGAAGTACCTAAAATTGGGTTATGTGACGTGCATTCCCGAAGATGGACGAGTTCACACGCCGTTGTGGAAGTTGCAGAGAGTGCATCATTCGCATCGCGACACCCACGTTGCAGGCAGGCACCCTGCTGCATCTGGCTGTACGCACATTTGGATTGGTCGTTCAAACACCCCTTCCACGTAAATTTTGTCATCACATACATTTCTCCTTTTGTGAAGCCTTATGCTTCTTTAAATACATCGATTTCGGTATTTTCTCCTCCACTCATACACTATTCTGAACAGTTTCCAACTTCTCTCTTGCTTTACCTCGGCATAGTTGTTTATTATTTAAATACTCTTGTGCCGTGCGAGGTTGTTAGGTGGAACGATTTATTAATTCAATGGCCTAACGTTTCGACGCTATCGTCATCTTCAGAGG